GGGGTTACTATATTTGGGCTAAAATGGCCGCTCCCAGACTCAATGATCGCAATGAAATTTTTTTTCTTTTAACTGATCAACGCTAAATTCATTAAATCACAGCAAACGTATTAGTTTTAGGTATAAATAATGATCCATTAATTATTCTTCGTTGACCGGCTTCTAGTTAGAGTGGCTCAGGTTATCCTGATCTATCTCTATAGTTCTGCTGCTATAGGCTTAGACTGCTGGAGGACATAGGGACCCCTTTTTCATCATTCTATCTCTATTCTCCCATTCCGTAGTATTTCTTAGACAGCTATGGCCTCAGCTTTTAGTTTTTTACTGTAATGTTCTCTCATCCATCCCACTGCCTCGGCCTCCATTAGGAGCAAATCCTGTAAAGTCAATGATTGTATCCAATCAGCTCATTTTCTTAAATATAAAACTTCAAAGGATGGTTGAATTGTTTCTGTAAAGTTCCTTGAGATCTCATGGTGAGAAACGACACTTTAGAAATATACCAAAGTAAATGGCTTCATGATGTAAACAAAATGTAAATGAGATCCAACCTCAAAATGTTAAATGCTGCCCCCATCAGGAAGATGACAGAAGCACATCAGGTTCGTATATTATTTATACTTTATTTACAAATAATAACTGAGTCCCGGTGGTTTAATGATGGCAGGAAAATCAAAACGTTTTTGGACATAAATAAAGAATCATGAGAAGCTCGTCGGAGGTGTTAGCAGACAGGGAATCAAATAAAAACAGAAGAAGAAGAAAATGTGCAGATAACGATTTAGCCGGCGAGCGCAGATACGTCTGGATCTAGAGGCTCGGTCATCGAGGTCCAGCGCACTGCCCCCTGCTGGCAGCTAGTAGTTAGTGTAGTAACGTCTTTAAATCACATGCTTCCTGTTTTCCTTTGGTGAGCGAAGCTTTAAGGCGACGGAACCAACAGAAAGAATCCAGACACTTAATGCTGCCGTCTTCCACTCTTTGGTCCTGAAACTTTCAGAAAACTTCTAAAACTAAAGTGCCGATCAGGAGGTGAAGAAGGTGAAGATGGAGATCTGAGTGTAGACGACGATCACGTGGTTCTAGGACTGTTCTGCTGAGGAAGAGGAGGGGGATGATGATGCTGCGCTTATAAAAACAATTAGAAGGGACTGAGCGTCCACCAATCAGCAGAGTTCACTCTGGATATGTACAAACGGACCTCAGAGGGACGGAGACCAGAACCAGGACAGCCGGCTCACAGGAAGGTTGGACCCAACGGTTCAGTTTGGAGAATTTTAGGAGAAACCGACTCAGATTTTATGTTTTTTAGGGGAATAAATGAACAAAGCAAATGTTATTAGTTTGAGAACCTGGACCGGCGCCGCACTGATCAGTCTGGGAGAACCGGGATGGGATGAACAGAACCTCATCAACCGTCTAAAGCACCAGAACCACTTCTAAAATGTCTGGTTTCACCTCAAAGATCCGTTAAACCGCCAGAACCTTTAAGCTAAAAAGCCTCACAGGAGAACCAGAAACCCGACCCAAAAAGAAGGATTCTGCTTGGTTCTGCTGCACTCCTCACACCGGCCACTAGGTGGAGCCAAGAATGACTCAGCAGAGGCGGTTAAATGGACCCAGGTTGGTTCTGATGCGTGTCAGCAGAACGGACCTTCACCTCAAACTGTTAGAATTTGGTCTGAACTACACCAGAACGAAGGGAACCGGGTCGGAACAGGTTCTCCTTCTCATCTATCAGCCCATAAAGGCCCGGTTCTGTTGGTATACCAGCCTGACTCTGCAGAACCGTCTGCAGGTTCAGAACCATGCCGCTGATTTAGAACCGGATCCACTGAGGCTAAACGTTCTCCGGTCTCGGTTCTGATGGAAACCCACCAGCTGTAGAACTTTGGGTCGTAGAGGTTTCTGGTTCTGGCAGAACCAAAGGTCCATGACCCGGAGGGTCCAACAGGGCAGAGAACCGGTTCCACCTCAGAGGGAATTTGGACTGGTTCTGATTGATGGATATAAACCAGAATCTGACAGGAAGAACGTGAATTTATTTTTTAGGTTCTGTAAAAGTCCAATAAAAGCAGAACCTTTCCGGTTTCCTGCAGCGCCGGCTGCCCTCAGGTTCTTCCTGCTCTACATCGGTACCGGCAGGTCCAAAACCAAGGTACAGAAAGCTGCAACCCGTTTGCCCGCTGTGATATCCTGGCCCGGTTCTGCTAGAATCTGTGTTTAGAGTTCACGGACTAGGTTCTGGAGTGGTCCAAAACCTGCCGCTTTGGACCAACAGTTCTGACTGAGGGACGGTTTCCCAGAATCCTCAGAACTACGATGAAAGAAACTAGTTTTGGGTCGGGTCCTGGACGGTTCTATGGTTTTTTATTTGGTTCTTGGTTTTTATGGGGATTCTGATTGACTCGACCCAACAGGGCGGTCCCAGAGTGAGAGATGCGGGGCTGGTTCCGGTCCAAAAGGACTCAGGTTGGGAGGATTTGGGCTTGATCTTGTTTGTGACCCGGATCAGAGGTTCTAGGTCCACATTAAAGCCGGTTCTGCCTTTCAGATCCGGATGTTCTGCTGAACGTTGGACTCTGTGGTTCTGGAGCGCTGCTCTCTGTTCTCACTGGGTCCGGACCTGCCAGCTGAACTGGTTCTGGTCTGGATGAGGATGGGACCGAACCGGGCCGGACCGTAAACAGTCTGATTGGGTGATTGATTGGGGTCCCGGTCCGACTGGAGAACAGGCTGTGGACTGCGGTGGTGCCGGTCCCGGTCCGCCTGCCGGTTCTGAGGCTAGCAGCTGCAGCCCTCCTTAGGAGGCTGGGTGTCGGTGTTGACCCGGCCCGGCTGCGCCGACGGTTTGTGCTGGACCCCGGACTCGGCGGCGTTCAGGTCCAGACTGCCGTCCTGGATGTTCTGGTAGATCTTCTTGGCCGCCTCCAGGAAGGCCTCCTCCACGTTCTCCCCCCTGAGGAACAAACCCAGAAGCTGTGAGCGAACAGAACCTGAACAGAACCGGCCCCCTGCCTGCCTGCTGTGAGGGATGGATGCAGTCAGCTGGTTGACCTGACAGGACCTGCTGTGAATTGGTGCTATAGAAATAAAGTGAATAGAAGTCTCGCCGCATCAGAAACTTACGTTTTAGCGCTGGCTTCTAGGAACAGCAGACCTGGACACAGGAAGCAGAGACAGACCCGGTCAGAACCACAAACCCGGCCCCCTGCCCCCCCCAGCAGACGGACCCTCACCGTTCTCCTCGGCGAACTGTTTGGCCTCCTCGTACGTCACGTCTCTCTGGGCCTCCAGGTCCGCCTTGTTCCCGATCAGGATGATGACCTGGAGAACGGAGCAGGTTCCCTTTAACCACCTCAACCTTCCAACTGTAGCCATGGCAACATGAAGCTTCACTGAACGTTTGGGCTAATTGCTTCACCGATCCCCACGGTTCATAAGGCTTCATGTGAACATGTCACCACCTACTGGTGGACTGCAGAACTACAGGTAGTGATAGAATCTGCAAACGTTTCTTTTCCCATCAAAGTTCCTTTGAAATTGTTAATGACTAGTGTTTATAAAAAAAAATATTTTTTAGTGTTAATAGTCTTATAAGAGAACAATCATTTTAGATTCACAGTTTTTCTGCCATTTTAGTGAAATAAGCTCAAGCAGACAGTGAAAGTATTTGTGCAAATTGGGCAATGATGAACAAAATTAAAGATTTTAGTCATTTTTATTAAAAAATTATAGTTTTTCCACAGTTTTTGGTTTTAATCGGGTTGGAAGTTATGTGCTCAACCAATCTTTTGGTTAAACCAACCGATCTAATTTGGCAGTGTTTTTACCCAATTAGTCACACTAGCCAAAATACTTCAGTATTACTGCAACTTATAAAAGTCTACGGTGGGTTTTAAACCAACAACCTCAGACATGGAAATCAATATCTTACAGACGACGCCACTAGCTATGCTAACGACTCACTAGAAAGTAATACAACTAAAAAACGTTGCAACTGTAACAGTGACTTGCTTAGATTTTATCATTACATTGTTTAATCTACCCAGAATAGTTTTAACCAACTAGATTGGTTGGAAAAACAATCTATTCTTAGAATCTATCCAACTGACAGCGGCTTTCCTACAAACTCCTACATCTTGACTGAACACTGAGGCTGTTTAAATTAAGTTTCTGGTCCATTAATTTCTCCCGCGGTCTGAACCACTTCCTGAAGCCGTCTCAAAGTATCAGGGAAGAGACGTTTCGGATGTCATCAATTCTGGCCCCTCCCCTAAATGAATCACGCCTCGACTCTCGCCCTCCATTACTCAACATGTGCCTCGAAGCCTTGGCTCATCTCATGACATCACTATAATGGTTCTATATGAACACACATCTGGATCAGCAGCTGCTTAGAGACATTAGAGGAAACCGGTCCCCCTACTGACCAAACACGGGATTACAGCCACAGACTGAACCTGTAAATATCAGAGATCATATTTACAGTAAAGGTTCTGAGAACATTAAACTAGAACCCAAAGATCTGATTAGCCCCGCATCGCTGGCCGGATCAGAGGCGCTCCTCTGGGTGCTGACCGATCCATAAATCCTGACTCACCGTGTTTGGGTTGGTCAGGTTCCGGGCGTCGGTAAGCCAGCTGCTCAGGTGGTTGTAGGTGCTCCTCCTGAGGGGCAGCACATCAACAAGGAGTTATTCAACAGAACCCAAAGGAACCTCTGAACCCCCCCCATCAGGAGCTGAAACTA